GGGGGGGGGGGGTTATTAAGTCATGCGTTTTGGGCTCTTCCTGATTGGTCTCTTCCTCGTCCTCACTACCGGTGGTAACTGCCATGCGGCAGATTCTCCCCAGTCGGTAACAAGCAGTGCTTTTTTTGTTTTTTTAAAAAAGGTGCTGGTACTCCAACTGGGCTGCGTCTAGACTGACCGCTTTGAATTTGCGCAAAAACACTGACAAGCTAATGTAAGATTGTCAGTGTTCTTCCGCAAATACAGTGACTCTCCCGTTCCGGAATTGCGCAAGAGGGCCAGTGTAGACAACTGAGAACTGTTTTGCGCAAAAAAGCCCCGATGGTGAAAATGGCGATCGGGGCTTTCTTGCGCAAAACCGCGTCTAGATTGGCATGGACACTTTTCCGCAAAAAGTGCTTTTGCGCAAAAGCATCCGTGCCAATCTAGACGCTCTTTTCCACAAATGCTTTTAACGGAAAAACTTGTCAGTCTAGATGTAGCCCAGGGGAAAAAGTTGTTGCGCTCTGATTGGAGGTGCTGGTACTGGTAACAAGTAATTTTTTTTACAAAAAAAGCACTGGTAACAGGTAATTCAAAGCCAGACATGGCAATTTTTAGGCCTTGCTGCAAGAGCTCTTGCCAGAAGACCCACCTGAGTTCTCAATTCATATTGCACAAGCAGGAAATTGCACAAATGCGTAAGAAACGCTACTTGACAGTATAAAGCTTTTCAGTTTCTCCCTACTTCTCAGTATCAGAGGGAGCCCTGTGAGTCTGTAACTAAAAAAACCCAGCAAATAGTCCTGCAGCACCTCAAAAGAAGTAGGTTGTGCCAAAGAAAGCTCATGATACCATCTACATTTTTGTTAGTTTCTAAGGTGCTGCTAGACGATTCGTTGTTTTTTAAGTTCTCTCAGTAACAGTTCATTCTGTGCCCTCCCAGCCCTACTTCTGCCCTAGACCTGCATTCATCAACTCAATCATACATCCATGTATGGAGGTTCTTCCCTTTCCCAGGGCCTGTGATGCAGGACAGGTCCAGGAGCTCTGTGCAACCCAGACTTAGGTGAAGATGGATCAGCTGCAGGTGTTGTTGCTCTTTATTCACACAACCATTCCCCTAACCTGGTGTTGCAGTCTGGGAACAGTAGTAAAAATTGCTGCACCCCTTTAACCTCCCAGCTGAGTTGACAGTCTGTTGGTTTGCAGCACCAAGTGAAGTTTCAGTTTACGCTGGGCTCAACACATGGCCCACAGGTAGGAGCCTAAACAAAAAAGTAGTCAATATAATGGTCTTCTGTTGATATACGTTTTAGTAGTTAAATTCCTGGACCGTCATTGCTCATTAAAAGTGCTGTCATATGGGTGAAAATTGGGTAAATATTGCATTTTATTAATATCAGGAGAACTGACTCAAATGGGGCCTGCATGTTGGGTAGTCTTGCCCTAATCTTTGTATTCATGCCTGTCAGTATGAAAGGAGCTATTTTCATATATATTTGCATGTACAGGCAACCATACTTATGTTGCAGCCCTTGGCATGTGCTGTGAGTATCATTATGACCCCCGGAGCTTCCACAGTTGAGTAGCCCTGCTTTAACATGTGGCAGGAACCCTATGTTCCAAAACCAGTTCCCAGCCCAGTTTGTGGGAAAACGTAGGTACTCAAAATGGAGTTCATTATCATGTGGCCTTGCCGAGTTACAGCAGCCATTACTTTATAGACCATCTGAAACAGGAGGGCTATTTTTCTCTAGCAGCCCATGGTCTTTATGGATGAGCCCTTAGCACTGTCTAGCTTCATCCCTGTGGAGGTTTTCCAGAGTAAACACATTTGAACGATCTATAGTCAATATTCAAAACTTCAGATACAAAAATGATACATGCATACAAATAGGATAGTCATATTTAGCAAATCATAACTTTTCTAATGATACCCCAGGTCTCTTCTTGTACAAAGTACATCATAATTTTATCATACAGCTATGAAGAATATGGGGTGTAGTATCACATATCCAATCTGCAAATAGTACCCTATTAATCTGGAAAACAAATTGTTGCATAGACAACATTCCTTAGTGTAGATGGAATACAGTGGTCCAAATTGTAAAAGTTGTTAATTTAACAGTCACTGTCCAACATTAAACAAGATTCAGCATTTGGTTTACAGAGACCTCAGCCTGCTTAGTACCTTGGCAAATAAATCATTACAATATTTTATTAAAGATACAGAAAAAGAAAACCAACATCCTTTGCAACACAAAGTATTAAATAGAACTTTCATTTCAACAACATCTCTTGTTTTCTTTAGCTGAAGACAGCTGAATGACATTTTGCCCCTTCCCCCCCTTAAACAGAATTTTAGATTATACCAAAGATAGTAATACTTCTCCTGCAGTGGGGGAGGGGGAAAGAAGGAAGTTAAGTGCCTGTGGGGGGAGGGGAACTGTTGATGTTAACAAATGCAGCTGCTGTCTCTGGTGTTAACTCTTACTTGCAACTTTGCCTGTGTTTTTCTAGCAGCACAGTATGTGGTCTTAATAGCCACTCTGGGAGCTGCTAAACTTGTACCTGTTTAGGACGTTACTTTTAGTTGTCTGTTTCTGGTCACTGGCTTTCAGTACTACTGCAAAATATATGGTTGGATGATTAAGCCAAACTTAGGAAGGAAAAATGTGAGGAAGGAAAGAAGAAATAAGACGAGAAAGGAAAAGAACACACAAGGGGGAGGGGAGGGAAGTCTGACAAAGTCTCTCATCCCAGGCGGTGGTGGGGATTCAGCTACCCCAGGTCAAAGTGATGTTATCTGTGTTCCTCTTGTTCTCCAATATGGTCAGATTATCTCTCAGGATCAGGATGATAAAGGCCTGGCGTTCCAGGAGACAGTGGGGGTGACAACCATAACACCGCAACTCACTTCAGTAGCCAATTTTTCTCCCCAGCATCTTTCTTAAGGACCCTAAAATGCAGTGATGGATCCATTATTTTAGTCACCAGTCAAGCCTAATATCTATAAATCTGACATTAATTTTGATTCATTATTTTTCAGGTTCACTCTAGTAGACTACTAGGGTGAACAGATGTCCAGTTTTAGACCAGAACACCTATCCAAAAGGATCCTGGTGGCTCTGGTCAGCACTGTTCACTGAGCTATTGACTGTCCACTGCATGCAACACAGTGAGGCTGGCAGGCTCCGTCCTAGCCATTGCACGTGGCAGCTAAAAGTTCAGAAAACAGCCGGCATGTCCAGCTACTAGCCTTAAGGGAGGCCGGGGGGTGGGGAAGGTCTGTGTGCTGGCCCACCCTGTGCCTACAGGTGCAGACAGAGCTCCCATTGGCTGGGTCAAGGCAGGGGAGAAATGAGAGTGACTAGTGAACGCTCAGCATGCAGCTGTTGAGGGGTCTTAGGATGCACGCCACTCTTGCTGCTGCTCAGACCTCTACTCCTTGCAGTCCTTGTGTGGCTGAGCTTGAGCTGTGGCACATGCCCTATAGTGAGCTGCAGCCTGTCAGTTGCCCCATCACCAGCACCAAGGAGTTCAAGGTATGTGTATCTCTATCTCCAAGTGCTGGGAATTGGGCTGCATCTCTCACTGCGTCCCTCCCCTTCCCATTCTCCTCTCATTGAATCCCTCTCTACCCCACCCCTTTTCTTTCACTGCATCCTTTCCCCATCTTATCCTCTTCTGCCCCCCACACCTACCCTTTACTCCTTACATCACTCTCCCACTGATCCCATCCACCTCTTAGAGCCACCACTCCCATTACCCCTAACAATCATGCACCCCATTCACCTCCATACACTGGTGCATTTCCATTATGTCTATGTATACTTCTGTGCCCCTAACATCCTCATGCACCTGTAGCCTTTAATGTTTTCCATTAAAAGCATTTTTGGAAAAGCGCGTCTAGATTGGCAGGACGCTTTTCTGAAAAAGACTTTTGCCCGAACGGGAGCAGCACAGTATTTCCGCAAAAGCACTGACAATCTTACATGAGATCGTCAGTGCTTTTGCGGAAATTCAAGCGGCCAGTGTAGACAGCTGACAAGTTTTTCCGGAAAGGCGGTTGATTTTCCGGAAAAACCGGCCAGTCTAGACACAGCCGTACTGTATGTGTGTAAGGGCCTGTGTGTCTTTGTGGAGGGAGGTGTGTGTATTGCCACATATGTGTATACCTGTGAGAATAAAATGTGTGTATACCTATGACTTTTATTCATTTTGCTGACTTGTGCACAAAAATTGATGACATAAAATATATATTTGCTTCATAAAAAGATTTTAAAAGAGAAGGGAATTCTAAAATAAATGTTGTTGACTAGTAATTGCAGAAGAGCCAGTGTATCAAACTTTTCTCCCCACTTTTGTCTAGGTACATTATACACTTTTTGTTGCAGACTCTCTCTTTTAATGTGTATGTCCAGCATCTTCCACTCTGGAGCCATGATCATAATAAGAGGCTGTTGCAGGGACTGGGTGGGGGGAAGGCTGCCGTGAAGCAGCCTATTTCTGCAGTGGTCTGGGGCTAGCCAGGGACAAAGGCTGGTCCCTGGTAGCAGCCCCTGTCTAGAGCAGCCTCTATCTGCAGGCAGCTGATACAGAGGCAGCAAGGTGGGGGGAATGCAAGTAGTCAACAAGATTAACCAATAAGCCTAGGCTTATCGGTTAATCATAGGGTCAACTACTTGTTTATATCCCTATTGTTAAGAAGGCTCAATTAAAAGGCAAACTCCGTAGCTGAAAGTGGCTTGACTCAATTCCTTGAGCTACCTCTACTAATATTACCACAGCAACAGTGGTGTTTAAAACCATGTTAGTTGACTGTAGTTATTGATAGCAGTTACATCTCATCCAGTAGTCAGTTATGTCTCGTGAGATAGTCCTACAGTAACCCGCACACCTACTGGATGTGGTGCATTGTCCCATGTAGTGGCACTTAGACCACTCACAGGGTATGTCTACACTACCCCACTAGTTCGAACTAGCGGGGTTTTAAAAATGGCGGCTCCCGGGCTTCATTTGCAAGTGCAGTATGCCTACATGACCCTCCTAGTTCGAACTAGGAGGGTCATGTAGGCATACTGCACTTGCAAATGAAGCCCGGGAGCCGCCATTTTTAAAACCCCGCTAGTTCGAACCCCGTGCAGCGCGGCTACACGGGGCATGAACTAGGTAGTTCGAACTAGCGGGGTTTTAAAAATGGCGGCTCCCGGGCTTCATTTGCAAGTGCAGTATGCCTACATGACCCTCCTAGTTCGAACTAGGAGGGTCATGTAGGCATACTGCACTTGCAAATGAAGCCCGGGAGCCGCCATTTTTAAAACCCCGCTAGTTCGAACCCCGTGCAGCGCGGCTACACGGGGCATGAACTAGGTAGTTCGAACTAGCGGGGTTTTAAAAATGGCGGCTCCCGGGCTTCATTTGCAAGTGCAGTATGCCTACATGACCCTCCTAGTTCGAACTAGGAGGGTAGTGTAGACATACCCACAGAGAGAAAGAATGAATGTGCTCTACAGCCTCAGCTGTGAATCTGCTGCTTTTTAGCTCAAGCAGTAGAGGCTCATGCATGAAACTCCAGAGGTCCCAGGTTCAGTTCCACCTGTCAGCATTACGCTAGTCCTCCACAGAGAGCTCACTTGAAATTCAGTGTTGCAGTGAGTCTCACAAGTCTTGGGTTTAAGCAGGTCACCAGTATTGTGTAGTAAGATGAGGCCCTGACACAAAAGCCCATGTAGCACAGACATGGTTTGAGGTCTAGCTAACAATGGTCAAGACTTTGCTAATATAAAGCTAAGCTGTGAGCAAGAGATAGGCCCCTACTCACAGAACTTGGCATATACAGGGCTGATAGTGTGAAACACTAATTGGTAATAGGCACAGGTGTAGAGCAGTAATTGGTACTAGGTACTGGCTATAAAAGAGTAATTGGTACTGGGTACATTTGAGAAGGATGGTAACAACACCTCATTAAAAGGACCTTGGTACCCACATTCCCCACAGATAATAGGGACATACTGACCCAAGTTCAAGAAAGGGCCTAAAATGATAGCATGATGTATAGCGATGTTCTAATGGAACTACCAGGTCCAGGGTGGTATCTAAGTAATGTCAGAGGGTGGCAACCTGATACGTCAGGAGTGATGTGTAACTTGTTTGTACCTGTGAAAGACTCTGCCTCACACTGTATATAGAGTTGTGTCTTGGAGGGGCTGTCTGGCCTAGGGAGCAATGGGACCTCCTATTAATTGAGGTGATCCTTTGTGGGGGTTACATATGTGTAGAGGTTCGGTAGAGTCTACTGACAACTATTACTATACTTTGTTTGACAATAAACCTGTCCATGTACCTTAAATCCTTATCTGATTTTTGTGGTGTTTGTGGGCTCTTTTGGTGTCTGCTGTGTTGAGTATTTGTGCAAAGTCAATAAAACACAAAAGTAGTTCACACGTATGCAGCTGCATGGTTATCGTCATTGACGGAGCAGGAGACCTGTCATGGCACCACAGTGGTGACTTCTGACGACTACAACTTGATTCTTGGAGTCAAGTAAATGTTTCAGTTAAAATCTGAAATTATTGCAAATGATCCAAACATTTTCTAATCCTTGTTGTTGCAAAGAAAAGCTTTTAAAAGGACAACTTGGAAAGCTAAAACCCAGAAAATAAATAGTAACACTTATTTTTAAAAAAAATCATTCTTTCTCAGGGTGTTGACTCTTGATTTTTTTTGAATGCGTGCTGGTATAGATTCCTGGATAGAGGTTTTTCAGCCTGGATTAATGGCACAAATTTTCCTACCATAAAGTGACAAAGGAAATTATTAACATTGGGCTTTGGTTGAAGCTCTTAAAAATACATGAAGTTAAAGTGCCCAGGTACACTGTGTGGACTAACTGGCTCAAGGACCAGACATGACATGATTGTACAACTTCAACCCAGGAAAAACTTAGCATTAGGTGCTCAAAATAATAGTATGGATGTTGCAGCTCAGGCTCTCTCAAACCTAAGGAATCGGATGTGGTTCAGAGCCTAAACTGCAGCCCATACTGCCCTAGTCACAATGCTTTTTTTGAATGCTAGCTTGAGTCCACCAAGGCTGTGTCTACATTGGCAAGATTTTGCGCAAAAGCAGCTGCTTTTGTCTACACTGGCCGTGAGTATTTGCGCAAGAACACTGACTTTGTAATGTACAAAATCAGTGCTTCTTGCGCAAATACTCTGACGCTCCCGCTCAGGGATAAGCCCTCTTGCACAAGTATTCTTGCGCAAGAGGGCCAGTGTAGACAGCAATGTTAATTTCTTGTACAAGAAAGCCTGATGGCTAAAATGGCCATCCGAGCTTTCTTGCACAAGAGAGCGTCTACACTGGTACGGATGCTTTTGTGCAAAAGCAAATCTTTTGCGCAAAGGCACATGCCAGTATAGACGCTCTCTTGTGCAAATACTTTTAACAGAAGATTTGTGCAAAATCATGCCAGTGTAGACGCAGCCCAACTGTGTATCTGTCCATCCTCACAGGAATGCTCACTCCCAGTTGCAGAGTTATTTTGAAATAACAAATTTATGTATGTCTACACGGCAAGTCATTATTTTGAAATAATGTTGAGCTGGAGGACTTCTTACTCCAACTCCTGTAACCCACATTTCACAACGAGTAAAGGAAGTCAGAGGAAGAGTGTTCTTCCTTCGACTTCCTGCTGTGTAGACAGCATCAAAAGCCAAATTAAGCTATTTTGACTTCAGCTATGCAATTGATGTAGCTGAAGGTGCATATCTTAGTTTGACTTTTGCCCTGCTGTGTAGACATACCCTTAGATAAACAAAGTGTCGTGGGCCCACCAGCAGCTTACCCAGGCAGGTCCATTATCCAACTTTGAAAACTACTGTCTTAATAGATTATACTCTTCTTCCTGCTTAGACTCTGTCTCAAGGACTATGCCTTTCCATTGCTGGGTCCCACATTTCTCAGGGCCATTATTCACTTCCCTGAAGTCCCACTCATCTAAAGGGTATCCTTTTAATAGGTGTCCCTCTATCCTACATCCAAACCTCAGAGTGGTCCTTCCTCTGTAGTTAGCTGATATGTCTCTCATTGTTTAGGGGATTAGCAGGGGGATCCAAGCCTTCCCCCGGCTACAATAGTTCTGCATGTAGCTGCACTCCATTAATGGACACTCACTTGATGTGCCAAGGCTTTTTGCATTGGTAACATGCTACCAGGATTTTCCTAGGTTTGGGGACCGGTAGCTCTTCTGAAAGCTTTATTGTGACTCCCTCTAAGGCTACCCAGCATTCTGTCTCTTGGAGCCTCTTCCCCCATCTCTAGTTCAGGGCATCCTCTTCTTTTGCCTTTCCCAGTAAGACAACTCTCTTGTTCTGGCATGCTGTTCAGCCCTTTTGGCCTCCAAGTGGGCCTCCATTTTCTCTTGCACCTCAGTACATGGAAGATGGCTGAAAATGCCTTCTCCAGCTTTGGAACTATAACCAGTGAGTAGTAACAGCTGGCCCAGCTTATACATACAGGAATGCTCCTTGTAGAAATGGCA